AGGCTATCCAATCCGAGATCATCGGAGAAGCGTGCTTCAGGGGTTACCTTTATTGTTTTGATTCGTGTTTAGTAAAGATAAAAATTGATAATTTTTTGCTTTTTGGGGTAAAATTCCTTCCATAAAAGTATATAACAAATAATATTAACGTGGATAAACAATTATGGATGACGATTCACAATGAAACTATATAACAAAAAGAAATTCTTGACGGATAAACTAAATTTGAAGGAATAACCAAAATTTTTAAGTTCATACTAATGATTTATCATTTAGTTTTCTATATAATCTTCATACCTTTGATGAATCTACTTTATCAAAAGCTTTGAGAATATCCATGATCCTAGTCTCGATATTGCTACGAGAAAGACCGGCTGTTGTAGAATAAAGACTTTGAGAAGGAATGATCTTGATTTTGATTAATGAAGTTGCAAGTACTGGTAATTTTCTATTAATTTGTTGATGAAAAATGGAAAAGCCGGCTGAACGTAAACGGTATAAATTCGTTCGAGTCGAAAATCTGCTCATTCTCGTTTAATAAAAAGTTGAATGATATGTAAATTGTGGATGCTATATCCTACATCAATTGTAGATGCGATACCGAAAATTATCTAATTGATAAAATTTTGATTGGCAGTCACATGAATATATATGCATACTAGTACACTTTTAAATTTTCGAATTCTATTAGTATTATTTTTTTGTTCATATTCTCCTTTCTTAAAAAGTTGACTTAATACAATAGTCAGATTTTAAAAACGTGACTGAACGTAATAACAAAGATGAAAGGTTACAATTAGAAGTTATAATGAATATTTAAATTAATATTTAAATGAATATTCGTAAGAATTCCTTTCCATTATCTAATCACATATTCACGTATCCAGGAATGCTACGTAATCAAAAGCAACTTTAAATGGATCCTAAAATAAAACGCCAAATATAGGAAGGGGTGCATTGAATTCCGTTCTTTGTTCTTCGAGAAATTGTATGCTATCGTTATCAATTCACTATATGCAAATAAAAAAATAAATCTATATTTATTCACATGATTCTAATGATTCAATGGTTTTACGTTTTCGGGTTCTTAAAAACGGATATATATCGATATGTCGTACTATCGCTATTGTTTAGTACATTGAAAAAAAAAAGATGCCTACCTCATTGACGCGAGCAATTTTATTTAATACAAGACAAAGGCATTTTATATTTAAACCTATCAATTGTCCATTTATCAATCGTCGTTTTTATGCCTCAGAAGAACGCAAACAAAATCTTATAGAAAAAATTGTACAAAAATATGCACAAGACTTATCTCCTGGTCAGAAAGTCAAAAGTGGTGATTTCGTGACAATTCAACCTGAACACGTAATGACCCACGACAATACAGCTGCAGTAAGAACAAAGTAGGTTATACACTTGCATATCACTGCAGGCAGTAAAATATTCTGACTTTCAATTTTTAGGTTTCAGAGTATTGGTGCACAAAAGATTAAATTTCCGAAGCAATGTGTATTCACTCTTGATCACGATGTTCAAAATAAATCTGAAAAGGTACTTTAAAATATTCAACTAATTATATTCTTCAAGAGCTTTGTGTCAAATTTATATAATTTATATCAGAATTTAGCAAAATACGCGTCCATCGAAGAATTTTCCAAACTTCAAAATGTTGATTTTTATCCTGCTGGACGTGGAATTGGTCATCAAGTTCTTATCGAAGAAGGTTACGCGTTTCCGTACACCATGACTGTAGCATCTGATTCTCATTCTAATATGTATGGTGGAATTGGCTGTTTGGGAACACCTATTGTTCGAACTGATGCTGCTGCGATTTGGGCTACTAGTAAAACATGGTGGCAGACACCCCCTGTTGCGAATGTGGAATTTAAAGGGCAGCTACAAAATGGTGTAACTGGCAAGGACATTATAATTACTTTGTGTGGAATGTTTAATAATGATGAGGTTTTGAATTGTGCGATTGAATTTACCGGTGATGAAAGTATTCATGGAATAGGTTTAGAAGATAGATTAGCAATTGCTAATATGACTACCGAATGGGGTGCATTAGCTGGTGTTTTTCCCGTTGATGAAATTACTATTCAATGGCTCAGAAATAGGGTTGACAAATTAGAACTTTCAAAATTCGAAAATAAAAATTTGAAACTTACATCGTCTGATCGACCATTTGAACATCCTAGGATTAACCATTCAAGAATTGATTATATTGAAAAAAATCCTATACGACCATCTCCGGGTGCATATTATGCAAAACATTTGACCTTGGACCTTTCAACAGTTTCGCCATATATTTCTGGTCCTAATTCTGTCAAAGTTTCAACATCCCTTGCTGAACTTGAAAAAAAAAATATCGCCATTCATAAAGCATACCTTGTATCATGCGTTAACTCTCGTGTAGGGGATTTAAAAGCTGCTGCTCACGTTATTAAAGGAAAAAAAGTGGCAGATGGTGTTGAGTTTTATATAGCAGCTGCAAGCAGCGAAGTACAAAAAGATGCAGAAGCGAGCGGTGATTGGCAAACACTCGTTAATGCAGGCGCAAGGACTTTACCTGCTGGTTGTGGGCCATGCATTGGTGGGTTAACACTTTTTTTCTCTTTGGATACATTGATGATGTTTCACTAATAAGTTCATAAGTTATTACCTAATAGGACTTGGTACTGGCCTTTTAAAAGACGGTGAAGTTGGTATTTCGGCAACTAATAGGAATTTTAAAGGTCGAATGGGGTCACCAAATGCGTTAGCCTATCTTGCTTCTCCAGGTTAATTGCAAAATTCTTATACATCTTTTTTTCCCCATATTAGTTGCACTAATGATAAAATTTTATAAATTTCAAAACATATTAGCTGTTGTTGCTGCTTCTGCTGTAGCTGGAAAGATCGCTAATCCAGCCTACCTCTCTACTTCATCACCACCAACACCAAAAATAACTTATACACTCAACCCTCCTGACGAGTATATCGAAGATTCAACGATCAGTAATGATTCAATTGTACCAGGATTCCCAGATACTATTAAAGGACAATTATTATTTTGCCCAGCAGACAATTTAAATACAGATGGAATATATCCTGGCAAATATACTTATGTGGATGATTTTCCAGTCGAGAAAATGGCCAAAGTTGTCATGGAAAATTATGATCCCAAATTCGCAAGCATAGTTTCTAAGGTATTTAGTATATTCCAATATTTGTAATGTTTCCATATAATTTTATATATTAATCAACTTTAATAGGGAGACATTCTGGTTGGAGGATTTAATTTTGGGACAGGATCATCTCGAGAACAAGCTGCCACTGCAATTAAAGCTTGTGGCATATCACTTCTTATAGCTGGTACTTATTCTCAGACATTTAAACGGAATTCGATAAATAATGCTTTGATTTGCCTTGAATCACCTGAACTTGTGGAACTTTTAAAAAGTTCTTACAAACTAGAAGAAAAAACCATACGCACACATTTAAATGTCGAAATTAAATTTGCTGAAGGTAAGGTATTGATTAAAGGTTTGAATGGTGCGGATAATGAATTTAGGGTTGGTGTATTAGGAAGAAGTGTTCAAGAGATATGGGTAGCTGGTGGATTAGAAAATTGGATTAAACAAAGATTATGAAATATAAAGTTTAGATTTTAAAAGCAATCGTTTTATATATGTCGTAGGTAGGAATAGAATTTAAGTTGATTCGGAATTTTTAAGGTTAGGGTTGGGATTTTTAGTTTAATTATTCTGTTCTAATCTAATTGAAATCCGAACTATACTATTATTCCATTCCCAATTACTATAACATTCTAATAAAGATCTAAAAATATTTATTCATGTAATTTTAATTAGAAGTAAATCTCTTTACATATATTAAATATCTATATTTTTATTGAAATTAACATTAATTAGTCCAGACATTAATTAGTCTAGAAGTATCAATTTTTTTAAATATAAGTCGTGAATATCTACAAATTATTAAACAATTTTTCTAAAAAAAAAAAAAAAAAAAATTGATTTTGAAAATTCTAAGAATAAGATGATGATGAATTTCAAAAGTACATTAAATTAAAATTCATAATCGCCCTTCCCCGAATATGCCGTAATGATATTGTTCATCATCATCTTGTGATAATAATTCGTATCTACCTTTTTTTGCTGGTCTTGAAACTTCAATAGACAAAGTACTTTTAGACCTCCCCAAATTAATCTGACCTCCTCCGACAGGTACATCTTGCCAAGGAAATCTTGGCTCACGTCTTCTACCACCAAAATGATTTACATTAACTTTAAACCCATTTTCCCCCCACCAATACATAAATAAACTTCCAATACTAATGCCCACTACAACACCAAACATAACTCTTGGACCACCTACACTATCATATAAAATACCACCAAACAAACTTCCAAAACCAGTACCAAAGCCAGCATATACGGCAGTCATGACACCCTGCGAAAATGAAATGAGACTAGGTGGAGAACTATTAGCTATATGTGTGACACCAGAAATCCACAAAGCGGAGAAGCCAATACCATTTAGGAGTTGAACCAGAAGCGCCAATACATATGAAATTGTGTTTTTCTGCAAAAATATATACGTCAAACATCGTATTATCGTTACAATATGAGCAAGAAAAATCAATGGACAAAGACCGAAACGAGATATTAACTAAAAGATAAAATTGAAATAAATTTTTTAGTTCAAAAAAAAAGGAATAAATATCGAAATAAATTATCAAAATAAATATGTAAATGCAATAACAAGTGGTAAAAATTACCTCTTTTGAATAAAAGAAAAACAATAATTCAGAAATAGCACTAAGTGGACCCGTTAAACCAAGAACTATCGAATTAGCTTCCAACTCTTTATTAAGAAACAATAATAAGAATGCGTTACTCATGGAAAATGCAGTCCCCATTAGTAACATGATTATTAATAAGGTCACTACTGAAGGATTGGTAAGTAACATCTTCATTGACGAAGTAGGATTGCTTGCAAATGAGGCAGTAGGAAGATTAAGCGATGTTGGTGGAAATGCCAAAATATCTAGGTCAGGTACCAACATCTCATCATCATCCTCATCTATCGAAGAATCATCACCATCAGATTCACCGACATGGGAGGATAGATTAACTGCGGATCTATTATTATTAAATTTAACGTTGCCTCTCGAACTAGACGCGACATCATCATCATCATCATCATTGAGACTAACCAATGGTTTGAAAGAAATGTCGTTGGAACGTGTTGTAATTATTTCAAAATCATCTACAAACTGATTGAAATCAGTACAAAAAGTACAGAGTAAAAATAATATTGCACTTCCAATGAAGTAGTAAAAGACAACATTGATGTTATTCGCAGCACTCCATAAAAGGCCAATTATTAAAGTGCTACTGCCATATGCGACAGATCCCCATAATCTCTGTTGACCTTATTAATTACAAAGAAATCACGTATTAAAATATTAAATAAATAACCTAAGTACTCAGTGCACTCATTACGAAGATCGACATACCATAAAGTTCTCTTTTATCACCGAGAATCTTTAGTACACCACTATCGATTAATGCATTGACAGGTACACCAAAAAAAGCAAACCACAGCGCAGCAAATAACACGCAAATAACTACAAGACCATTATTACTTGAATTATGAACGTCAATTATTAATGGCAAAATCATTTGACCAACAACACTAATGGTCGCCAAAAAATAAAGTATAATAATGATGAATCGATGTGCTTGAAACTTATCAGCCAGACCCGTCCAAAGAGGACAGCTCAAGGCGGAAATAAAAGGTGCAATCGAAAAGACAATACCAATTTGTGTGGAAGTTAAAGCTAAGGAAGTACTATAAAAAATTGGGAGATAAGGAAGAACTGAACCCATGCCTGCACATAAGGTAATAAATAATAATTTTGGTGCAAGATAAGGTACAGAAGAAATTTTTGAAAGTATTTGATTTAAAAGATTCCACATATACCCGGCCCGAGTTTCACCAGGATGTACCATGAAGGTGCTTGTGCCATTCTGAAATATGTTTGAAAGCCAGTCTGGAGGAGCAAACTGTAGAGTAGTCGAAGATTGAGCCCGTTTAACGCGGGGATTTTTTAATTGTAACTTATGAGGGATTACCATCGCGTAAAAAACGTATTCGTTTTAATTCCTATTATCACTCATGATGATATCAATATGTTTATTTTTCTACTTAGCGTGATACAGATAGATAATCTAATTGGCCTAAAAAACTTGAATTTTTATAGGTTATTTACTTTTATGCACGTACGAACTCCATATTTAGAAGATAAAATTCTCAAATACTTCTTGTTGTCTCTAATTACAAACTTTAATAAGGCTTTCATTCATGCTGTATCTTTGTTTAATTGTACAGGATTTCTGATAGATTACTACTACTTTACCATATTGACTTATTCATATGAAAAATATCTATCATGAATTACGTAATTTTTAAGAGTGAGAAGAGCAAAATCAAGATGATACCTTCCTTATTTCTTTATTTGAAATAAAATTGGCAATCAGGAGAATACAAACTCTGAAAATTAACTTATATAAATTTCTGCTCTCCTTATAATTATTAAGACGAAATTTACAGAGTTTATCATAATTAAAATACGTATGAGTATCGTATAGTATCGTATAGTATCGAATGCTGTAATCTATACGGTTTTTACATGATAAATCAAATGCCCTTCTCTCCAAGAAGAATTAGTTGGTACAAAAATCATACGACTCCGATCACTACATCTGAAAGAAGATTACAAGTGAATTCATCTAAAGTTTTTCGCTGTGCTGAATTATAATTGATTATTGTTATACTATACATAATAAAGTTTTTGTTTTCCTGAAAAATTCCCAAGCCCCTAAAATCAATTGCCATTTTCAAAAAAAATTGTCCGGAGCGAAGCGGAGGTCGATTATCGAGGTCACGTGGACAAATCTTTCGTGATGCTGCTTTAATTTTGTATCGTCACATATCACACAGCATATATCATCTGACTTTAAACGAATTTGGCAGCCATGAAAACGAATTGTCAAAGAATGCGGCATATAAATTCTGAAATTACACTTTATGCTTTATAATCAGTGTTAGTTATTTGAACCAATTTGATCAATTTACCAATTTTTTAGTTATTAATAAAAAATTTTTGAGGGTGTGGTGACATAGCAAAGTGGTCAAGTTGTCACCCCCCAAGGGCAGGTCAAGAGTTTGAATCTCACCGGTGATGAAAATTCGAAAATTTTGCTTATGTTATGGTTAACTGTATTTGACGATCAGTTAGGATAGAATATCTGTAATTACGGTCGCACCAGCAAGACTGGGAGTAGGGTGTCCAGGATTATGCGATGCGATAGGGCAAATTATGCCTGCGATTTGGGATCAATTATGCGGTGGATGCGAAATAAATTTAAAATTATGCGAAGAAAATAGGCGATTATGCGATTTTTATAGTACCAAAAACGCACGACTTATACCCCTGTTAGAAAAAAATTTTTATTATTAAGTCGACTATTAATTTGTTAGGTATCTTCCA